TATATTTGTTTTTTTTCTGTGCATATACATTTCGTTCGTATTTACTTCCTTCGTGATCGGAAGACGATTATTAAAAATACAGCTGTAAATTGAAACCACTGTAGTTGCGTATCGTGAGCAATAAGTGGCAACAATGTCGGCGACAATGAATTCAGGCGATTGACACATTGCCATGAATACACTTGATAACTGCTTGCAGACTTCCAATGGATTGTTTATGTCTGGACTCTTGAAACAATAGCAAAATAAAGGGTTGGGCAACTACTCTTTTCTTTAGGCTTGGGAAGAATAATACAAGCTTTTTACAAATAATTTCAGCTGGATGTACGTTGGTGGGCGGGTGTTGAGAGTTACTGGGCAGTCGTAAAACTTGATGGGTGGGCCGCCCACCTAAAACCCCTTGTGGAGAACACTGTGTAGTGTGATGTGATGCATTGCAGTTTACTGTTTAGTGATGTGATGCAATCCAATGTGATGCACCTAGTGTGATGCTGTGGTATGTAGTGTGATGTGATGCATTGCAGACCACTATTTAGTGATGCAATGCAATGCAATGTGATACTATGGTATGTAGTGTGATGTGATGCATTGCAGTATACTGTTTAGTGATGTGATGCACCTAATGTGATGCTATGGTATGTAGTGTGATGTGATGCATTGCAGTACACATGTTTAATGATGTGATGTGACTTGATGCAATGTGATGCACCTAAAGTGATGCTATGGTATGTAGTGTGATGCATTGCAGTACAATGTTTAGTGATGTGATGTGAATGGAAACTGCCATAAGATTAATGCACTGACAATGCTATATGATACAATGAGTCAATGATTGATTTGTCTACTGTAACCTTCAGAGACTACGACAAAATGTGCCAGACAGATTTCAAAACAATACATATACCAGTATATACTCACCCTGTCAGTGCATATTATAGATATCTTTCCATCTGTTCCTGTGGTGATTAGATTCTTGTAATTGTTGCAATATTTCATGTTTAAAACCCAGTCTGTATGTCCACTAAGATAACCAACAAAGTAATTCAATTTTATGTATGACATGCTTTATAAAGACACTTTTCATTCATGCAGCTTATGGTCAGTTTTCCATATTGTTACGTGATCTGCGTCTCATGAACCAAGAAACATTGTGTTGCTTTGTAAGGCATTGAACACTCCTGTTTATAACCATGGTAGAACTATAGACACTAATCTTACCTTGATATATCATGTAGCTTTATACCATGGTTAGAACTATAGACACTAATCTTACCTTGATATATCATGTAGCTTTATACCATGGTTAGAACTATAGACACTAATCTTACCTTGATATATCATGTAGCTTTATACCATGGTTAGAACTATAGACACTAATCTTACCTTGATATA